GTGTTTCAGTTCAACCTTCCTTTCAACATGATTGAGACATTAGACTGTTGTGATTATTTCCCTGTAGAATTCGTACACATTGCACCTTTAAACTGGCTAAAATGGGTTTACTGAAGCACAACAGCACAACACAAGTCCCAGATGGAAAAATATCTCTAAAATAACTTAAAAAAACACAATATGGTCACGCCAAGACTGACCATGTTTCATTCAGGTAAACCTTGTTCATGTTTGAGCGTTTACACGTGTTAATTATCAGTGTTGGGAGTAACGCGGTACAAAAGTAATTAACTACTGTAATGCATTGCTTTTTGCTGTAATGTGGTAATGTAAGGCATTACAGGGAAAGAAAACGGTAATATTTACTCGGTACAATTGTCAGTAACGCGGTAATTACAACGCATTTTTAAACCCAAAATCAAGATGCGGGTTTCCTAAAAATTCAAATTGCGGGAAGCCTGAAAAAAGATCCAGTCTCTACAAATATGACGTCATGTATGGACTCAGCTTTGCGGGCATTCTCTGTGCAGAGAGGACGCAGCGGTAACGGCTCAAATACTCCAGCTGCGTCCTGCACGCGGCCGCTGTTATATTCACAAAACCGCTCCACCAAAACAAAGTCATTCGTTTGCGATCGTTTATATCAGCCCCTATTCTCTGGTACTTCATGTACTTTTCAGCTGAGTTCATAATCTGTGCGCCGGTGATTTCAACTCATTGCTGCCGGAGCACAGCACGAAGCTTTTTTATTCATTTAAATTTTTTTGCGTTCGGTAGATCCCTTTGGCTGATTAGTTAGAAAGTAGGAAATCTAGTTTACAGTTTTTCTGGAAGACGGAGGAAACATGCAGCATGTAGGAAGGTTAGAGAGAGAAAGGGCGGGAAATTATTCACATAAAATCAAGAAAACAAAACAAAGTGCTTGAAAAGAAAAAAGTAGGTAGATTTATCCTCAATACACATTTTTACCAGTGAAAAGCAATAATATATAAGCATTTAATATTTATACATGTGATAGAATCAGATCACCCCAGAAGTCAGTCCCACATCCAGGGCCGTATCAAGGCATTTGGGGACCAAGGCAAATATAGGCTTGGAGCCCCCACCACCCCACTCCCTGCTCAGATGGCCCTATAAGATGGCAGCGTGCTGAGAGTACAGATTGTTGTTGTTTTTATTTAATAAACAATCATTTTAAAGCACTGTTATGATATCTGACTGTTTTTAACAGCAACCCTAGCTCAGACACCACATCACCTTCCACATGTATGTCATGAGCTCACTGAGCGTCACATGACCAGATTCATATTGAAGTTGTTTGGTGAAAGTAACTTAAAGTAATGCAAAAGTAGTGTAATGCCTTACATTTTAAAATCAGTAATATTGTAATGTAATTAATTACTTTAAAATGAGGGTAACAAGTAATAAATAACGCATTACAGTTTTGAAGTAACTTGCCCAACACTGTTAATTATTCCTAACGTGTTAACAAGGTCAGTTTCATTGTCTTTATCTGTGGAAGTAACTGCCAATTCAAAAATAAAGATGCCAACATCAAACTATAACCTCCTGTTTCACCGTCTAGCTAGCGGATGAACGATCAGCGGTGTTTCTGTTTGGGTAAACTAGCTTTGGACACTTCAGCATCACCAGCAACACAATTAAATCAAAATGATCAACTCATCATGCAAAATCACTGCTTCTTCTTTAACTCCCAGCTATAGCAAGCGTTGCATCGTTGTGGTCTCATCTCCAGCAAGAAAAAACATGAAGCGGACACAGAATCAAAATAAAATAAGCTGCTAAATCCTCCAGAGAGACTCGTCTGTTTACCTAGTTGTAGTTGACGGCACATCCATGTGCACCAACACAAACAGGAACCACTGACATTTCATTTGGCAACCTCTAATGACGCTAACACAGCAACAAGAGATTATGAAAATCCCTGGTGGGATGTGAAGGAAATATGAGCTCCCAGTGATAAAATTAAAATGCAGGAGACAGAACATTAAGACTCCTCCATATACTTTCCCAGTCGTCACACCGAGAGGCTGAAGAACCATTTATTCTCACGTGGCGACAAATCGGGGTTCACTTCCTCCTGAGCTACAGCCACCTCACCACATGCAAGCAATTACCAAACCAGCATGAAACCATTCCTTTCCCTGCTTAATTTAGCCACTGGTTTTTTTAAACACCAGATCACACTGTAGATAGTGGAAGGCGTCAGGCTGGAGAGTTTTATGGGCTCTGCAGGAACTTCAACCCCTCCACTCCCCTCTTGCAGACACACAAACGACTGAGAGGAGAAAACACAAGATGCTTCCTCAGGGATCATCACTGAAAATCACTGCCTTCTACTGTTAGGAGATCCAAGCATGGCAGTGTGTGGGGTTTATGGTTGGCTCCTATCCCCGTTGGTGTCCGTAGCTTTGCTGAGATCAGATGTGAGCCAGCAGACACTCAGACACAGCTGTGCAGCCACATCAGCAGCACTGAGCTGTTGGGATGGAAACACATAAACCTAAATCAGTGGCATTTATCCGGGGACCTTTTTCTTTTTGGAAACTACACTCATCATATTACAGTAATTATCCTTATTGCTATGTATCTCATAGCTGCACTAGCCCTAGCACAGACAGGAGTTTAACCACATAGACCCTTATTTACATAAACATTTTTCATGTCCCGTGTAATATTAATAAGATTTTAGTAAAATAAACCTGAAACCAAAGCAAAGTTCACCTGAGAAGTATCCAGACCAGGGGTCTGCAATCTGTGGCTCTGGGGCCAAAAGCTGCTCTTTGGAGCGCCCACAAAGGCTGTAAATAATGTTGGCTACGAATGATAAAAAAATCTAACTCGGTTTTAACGTTTTTACATATTTTTATTGCGGGTCTAAACAGTTTATCTTCACAATAGAATAACACTAAAATTACCAGTAATATATTTGGATCTAATTGTGTGTTTTTTAACATTTTCCTTAAATATCAACATCCCATAGAAAATATACCCAATATTTTTGCAAAAGTTTTTTGTATATTAAAGAGGCTTTTCAAAAACTGACAGCAAATCTCTAGTAAATTTTTACTAAAGAGGTAAATAAAAAGATTTTCTGACTTTTAATCTCACAAAAATAAATAAATAAATAAAACCATCATAAAATTAGAAATATTAGAAATAGTCTATTTTCAAAAGGTCTTGGAACAGTTGCAGGGCTAAACAACATTTATTTAGGTGGACTAAACCCGACAGCCTATGAACCATTTCTTTAAACCAAAAGCTATTTGCATTCGTTGACGCTTGTAATAAACCTGCTCAGGTACAAAATATTCCTGGTTTAGAAGCAAAAGCTGAACAAGTTTTCCACGAGCAGTGACCATAATCAAAATTCAGTCTCCAAGGTTCAACTGGAACTCAAGTTAAGAAATGTTGGAAACTAACTATATAAAGGAAATCAAACTAAAAACAAAGATAAGTATCACTCAAGACTCTCCTGGGAAAATAAATCTGAAGTCTTTTCCCATTTAGACGCCATTCACACAGCAGGAGTTTTAAATAGTCAAACAATTACGGAACATGAGACCACTCGTGTGGCGGTAAATTTTTTTTAAAAAGAAATCACAGATGTAAAAGTTTTTGTGAAATCTACTCAAACCGATTCACACACAAACATTCCAAGGTCAGATGGGAAAGATTGCAGGGGCGTGCTGTGTGCGCCCATCACCTCAAACGGGAAAAATCTACACTCAGGCCTAGTCCACACGTAGCCGGGTTTTTTTAAAACGAATATCCGCCCCTCCAAAAACTTGCATCCACACCACCGCGTTTTAAAAACAAACTCTGCCCACACGTACCCGGATAAATACGTTGTTAAGGACATGCCAGACCTGTAGGCGGCAGTACTTCCCCCGTTCTTAACCTCGTCCTTCGTCTGTGGTCTTCCGCAAGGAGCAGTAATTCCTCTTGCAAAAACAAACAAGCAGAAAGCGCTTGGACAATTGATAAAGCGAGCGCAGCTCTGAGGGCATCCATGCTGTCGGCTAGTGTAAACACAGGTCGCACACGTGATGTCAGCATTTCTTTGTCGCGAAAGTGACGTTGCGGACCTTAAAACTCCGGTTTTGTCCGTCCACACGCAGACGCCCAAAATGGAGAAAACGCAGATCTTCACTTTGGCCGGAGTTTTTAAAAAGATCCGTTTTCGTGTGAAAAAACTCCGTTTTCGTGTGGATGGCAGGCCAAAACGTAGAAAAATATCTACGTTTTGGCAGATCCCCGGCTACGTGTGGACAGGGCCTAAATAGAGGGGGAGGCCTCAGGTTTCACCTTTCCACCACCTATAATGCAGCCCTCAACCTATTTCCCAAGCAGTTTCAGTCTAGGTCACACCCTCCTGCATCTAGTCAATACGATTCCCACACAATAGAGACTAACGACTCCAACAACTCATCAAGGCGTACAAAAAAGGGGTAGTTTCTGCTCATTAAGCAACAGTAGACAGCTACAGTTCATAAGCTTGGCCCTCCTGCATGACAGTCAGAAATGACAAAGCTCCTCGGATGAGAAGTGAAACATCTTCAAGAAACCAAAGAAGTCCGGTTGCCTGCATTAGAACCCCTTTGGAATTCCATCACCTTGCATTCTGATTGAATACACATCACAATCAACAGGCAGAGAGTTTGTTTGTCCAAACCAATCCAACATGTTTGAAAGGATTTTTTATCCAAATGGTCCAGACATCCTTCCTAGCAGACCAGAGCACTCTTTAACACACCACAAATGGCAGGAATGTCTGCTAAGACTGTCCCTGGATTGAACTGGTGAAGAGTGGGTGTAAAATCTGCATGATTGATGTTTTCATGCAAATATTCATTAGTTTTGTATTAACACACCACATTCTCCCATTTTGAACCAGCAGTTCTCCGTTTTGCTCTGTGCATCCTCCAGCTACCTCCAGACCCACCGAAGCACAACAAACTACTGTTAGCTTGACTTACAGGCGTTGGTGACAGCGAAGCTGTTGGCTGTTTCGATGTTGTCCACGTGAGGCACCAGGTTGAACGGAGCTTCCGATGCGTTCGGACTTGTGTTGTGCAGGAATATTGCCAGTCGGAAGGCGGTGTACTCCTGGTCGGTGTTTCTGATAAACAGACCACCTTAAAAATGGAGGAGAGAAAGAGGTTGGATGAGGAACCTCAGATCAGGGATTAATTCTGACTTTCTGAAACATCTAAGAAATTCAGAAAATTGTTAAATTGTTCTTTTCTAACACATTCTACCTTCTTCACTTCTGATCTGCGATGCTTTTTCATCACAACCACCTTGTCCACACGCGGCTAATTGCTCTAATTAGTTCCACCAAGGTGTTTCTCGTTATTTTATTGTTGCTGAAAGTTCAAATGTGTTTCATGTCCAGGATTTTAGCAAAGTTTGCAAACTTTCATTTATCTTTTTACAGACAAAAATGACCTTATTTGATCAAAAATTTAAAAAATGAACATTTAAAAATTGACAAAAGTTTTAAAAAGTAGAAATTTTTAAAGGAACAAAAGCATGAAAAACTGAAAAGTTAAAACAATGAAAACAAAAGAAATATTTTAATAACCAACTTGTCTCTCCTGTACTTTTACCATCAGACTAATTTGTTTTTCTCATCTTTTATTACGGATTTCATTTTGAAAAGTATTAGTAATATTGTAAAGGAAAAGAAAAAAGTCTACATAGTTCAGACTAAATCAATTAGCAGTAGTGGAAGTGTCGGCAGTTGCAGTAGTTTTAGTAGTAGAACTAGTAGTAGTAGTAGTAGTAGAACTAGTAGTAGTAGTTGTAGTAGTTTTAGTAGCAGTAGTAGTAGTAGTGGTAGTTCTGGTCATTTTCTTAATGGGTAATAGTGGTTGTTCTGGTAGTAGTTGTAGTATTGGAGGTGGTAGTAATAATAGTAGTAGTACTGCTAGATGTAGTAGTTGTAGTGGTGGAAGTGGCAGTAGTAATAGTAGTAATAATTTTGGTAGTGGTAGTAATAGTAGTAGCTGTGTTAGCAAATGTAGTAGTTGTTGTAAATGAAAAATGAGCCACACTTGTATAGCGCCTCTCAGAGTAAGGACTCCAAAGCGCTTTACACTACAGTGTATCATTCACCCATTCACACACACATTCATACACTGGTGGTGATGAGAGGCGAGGCTGTCGAGTACAGGCACCACCGGACCCTCCGACCACCACCAGCAGGCAAGGTGGGTTAAGTGTCTTGCCCAAGGACACAACAGCAGAAATCTCTGTCCGGAGCCGGGATTGAACCTGCAACCTTCCGATTACTAGACAACCTCCTCAACCTGTTGAGCTACTGCTGCCCAATGCCACAAGTCATTGTAGTAGTGGTAGTATTGGTTGTGGTGGCAGTGGTAATAGTAGTTGTAGAAGTTTTGGTAGTAGTAGTGGTGGTGGTGTTAGTAGTAGTAGTAATAGTAGTAGTTGGGTAGTAGTAGTTGTGGTGGTGTTAGTAGTAGTAGTTGTAGTAGTAGTTTGGGTAGTAGTAGTGGTGGTGTTAGCAGTAATAGTAGTAGTAGTAGTAGTTTGGCTAGTAGTAGTGGTGGTGGTGTTAGTAGTAGTAGTAGTAGTAGTAGTAGTAGTAGTAGTTTGGCTAGTAGTAGTGGTGGTGGTGTTAGTAGTAGTAGTAGTAGTTTGGGAAGTAGTAGTGGTGGTGGTGGTGTTAGTATTAGCAGTAGGTGTTTTGTAGTAGTACTTGCAATTGTTAGTAGTATTAATAGTAGTAACGTTGATAACAATAAAAGCATCAGATACTTCATTATTAAATAACTGATGAAAACTGGGACAAACATTCCTGACTGGGAATTCTCTCATGGATATAAAACATCGTTTCTGATCTTTGCCTTTTCTTCTCGGTACTCCACCGTGTTTAAATGATCTCTGGAATGTGTGCAGTTAAGCCCAAAGTACTAAGTTACGTCTTGTGTTCTAACGGAAGGTTTTTCTTGGCGTGTAAATGAATGAAATAACACGATCCGTGCAGATTCCCAAGGTTAAAGGATCACAGTGAAATTAAGCTCCTGCTGTGCTGAATTCTGACAGGAAGGAAAGGACTACAACGGATTCTCAGGAGTTACTTCCTGGTCTGATTGTGCTTCTGTGCAGAGTTATATCATCTCATATGAATATGTTATTTTCAATCTTTTTAATGAATGACATTTCATTAAATGAAAAAAAAAAAAGATGGCGCCGTCCACGGCCTGCCGTCTGCTCACCCGATTGTTGTTTTTGCTTTTTATTTTCCTGAGTTGCTCTTTGATGGATAGTAGCTCAAATTTTTGCTATGATCGCCTCTCCCTTCTTGAACTTCGGCATAAACTTGGATTTGCCTATCACCGCTGTTCGGATCTAAGACGGTCCTTCGCCCCGCTGTTTACGGCGGTCCCAGCTCTGCTGCTTCGCTCTCCCCGCCCGGCGTGGCTACCAAGGAAACGCCGCAGACGTGACAAACGCGGGGGTTCCAAAGTGCGGCAGCATGAGGTGACATTATTCTGCATGAACAAGACCTGGGTTCTTCCTGGTGAGTCAGCTGCACTGTCAGGTCCTCCACTGCTGTTTATTCTCTGCTATCGCCCACCTAAGTACAATTCAAACTTTTTATCGGAATTTTCTGATCTTTTAACAGACTTTCTTCCAAAATATGACCGCGGGATTATTCTTGGTGATTTTAATATACATGTTTGCTGCCCTGACTAACCTCTTGTTGGTGGCTTTTTAGTCATTTTAGATTGTTTTGGTCTCCAGCAACAGGTCCAGTCACCCACCCATTCAGGATCGCACATTTTAGACCTGGTTTTGTCATTTGGGATCTGTATCTCTGATCTGATTGTTGACTCTGCGTGTATCTCTGATCATTCTATTATTTTTAATATCTGTGGCTTGACGCCTCCATCTCCTAGGCAACATAATCTACACCTTACAAGAATAATTTCCCCTTTCACCACCAATCTATTAGCATCTAGCCTAGCTGCGACTCTATCCACTTCCCAACCTGATTCCACCTGTGTAGGAGTTGAGGAGCTGCTGACCTCTTTCAACTCTACCTGCTCAACTGTTTTAAATGCAGTCGCTCCTCTAAAATCCAGGCATAAAAAAAACTGTGGCAGACCCTTGGCTCAATGAGGAGACTCGTGCCCTAAGAAGCTAATGTAGGGTCTGTGAACGCCGGTGGCGGAAGGACAAGCTGCAAGTCTCCTACCAGTTATTCAAGGATTCTTTGACCCGCTATCAGAAAGCTGTCCGCACAGCTGAAAACAGATATTTGCAAATATAATCACTAGGCATAAAAACGACCAGAAGAAACTGTACAGTGTCCTCACCTCTGTACTATCCCTTAGAGAATCTCCCAACTCTTCTCCCTCTATGGGGCTCTTTGCAATGAGTTTCAAAACTTTTTCCTGCATAAAATCCAGGAAATTAGAACCGGTTTCTCTTACTCAGGCTGGGTTACCTGTGTGGATCCTCACTGTCCACCCTCATTCTCTTGCTTTGCTCATGTGACACCCTCTTCCCTGGTTGACCTAATCTTGGTTATGACGCCCTCAGGCTCTCCAGAGGACAGCCTTCCTCCAAGACTGCCGTGCAATGTCCTTCCAGGGGTGGCCCCTGCTGTTTTGGATATTGTCAATTCCAGCTTCTCCTCTGGTGTGTTTCCAGCTGCTTTTAAAAATGCAGTTGTTCAGCCGCTATTGAAGAAACCAGGCCTTGACCAGTCTGACTGCCAATTATCACCCAATCTCAAAACTTCCATTCATCTCAAAAGTAGTTGAGAAACTGGCTCTCACGCAGCTTACTTCTCACCTAGATGACAATGGGCTTCTTGACCCATTCCAATCAGGGTTTAGATGTAATTTCAGCACAGAATCTGCACACATTAGGGTACTCAATGACATCTTGATTCTGACTGACTCTGGCTCCCATGAGCTGTTACTCTTACTCGACCTGACTGCAGCATTCGACACTGTAGACCTCACCATCCTACTTCACAGATTTGAATTTTGGGTGGGTGTGACCGATACTGCCCTCGAATGGTTTAAGTCGTACCTTAATGGTCGGTGTTTTAGTGTTCATGTTGGAGACTGCTCTTCTCCCAATGTCCCACTTCCATGGGGAGTACCACAGGGCTCCATCCTGGGTCCTCTCCTCTTTTCAATTTACATACTACCATTTGGTAAGATTTGAGCAAGTCTTGGGGTTAACTACCACTTTTATGCAGATGATTGCCAGATCTACCTTCAAATCAACCAACAGCACTCATTTTCTATAATGTCAGAATGCCTCTCCCAGGTCAGATCCTGGCGTTCTCAAAACTGCCTATGGTTAAATGACATCAAATCAGATGCCATACTTTTTAGCCCCACTAACATGAACGGTGCTTTAGATGTCTCAACTCTCCCACTCAATCTCAAATCATGTGGCACTAGCCTAGATGTGAAACTGGACTCTGACCTTTCAATGTCTTCACAAGTCAACGCTACTGTCAAGTCCTGCTATTTCAAACTCTGCCGCATCACTCGTCTTAAGTCAATCCTCAAACGGCCGGATCTTGAGTCAGTCATTCATGCTTTTATTACTTCACGTCTGGATTACGCAAATTCTGTCCTGATTGGGATTATTGCTTCAGCCCTAAGCAAACTGCAGAAGGTTCAAAATGCTGCGGCCAGATTTTTAACCAACACCGACAGACGCATGCACATCACACCCATCCTCGCAGATTTACACTGGCTCCCAGTCAAATTTAGGATTAACTTCAAGGTCTTGTTATATGTTTACAAGGCTTTGTACTGCCCATCCCCGTCCTATCTGACAGACCTGCTGACCCCGTATGTTCCCACCCGTGCCCTTTGGTCAGCAGACCATCTGCTGCTTGTTGTTCCGAAGGTTTGGTACAAATCACAGGGGGAGTGTGCCTTCTCTTATGCAGCCCCAAAACTCTGGAACTCTCTGCTTCTCCGTGTGCGTCTGGCTTCCTCTGTTAGCAGTTTCAAGTCGGCCCTGAAAACGCACTTCTTTAGCATTGCCTTCCCTCCGTGACACTTTTCATGACAATCTAGCTCCGGATTTGAGTTTTTAATTCCATTTTTATGATTTAGTTGCTCACTCTTGGCAC